TAAACCTTTTCAAAAAAAGAAAAGATATGGAAAAATATGCAAATACATAAGAAAAATACGATAAGAATATTACATCCAAAAACCAAAAATTTAGTTAATTAAATAATTAATTTAATTAATTAATCAAATAACTAAAAGAATTATTAAAAATTCTGGGAATATTATAGCTAAGATAATATTTCTGATATTTATTAATTATATTATTGTATTTATTATTCAATTTGTAACAATAAACCAATTTGCGGTACATAATTATCAAATTTGTCCTTAATAATTGTTAGTAAACTTGAAAAGAGAGTATTTTACCTTTTAAGAAAAAAAAGAAGAAATATATTTGAAAAAATTGCAGTATAGTATGCTGGTATGCTATATAGTATGTATATATACATATAATATGTACATTTTATGTAATAATATGATTACGATCATTCCTAGTAATAATAAATAAATACGAATTGGCATTCTACCGATATGTAACACATGGCTATAGTTGTACTATACAGTCCAACCGTTTGGTATTTCAAGTTTTATTTTTAAAATTGACTGGCTTTAAGGAAACAAAGGGAAACGGAGACTATTTTTTAAGCTAAAGTTTAGAAATTTCAAACTTTAGCTTAAAAAAACTTTCAAGTTTCTTATATGGATAATGATAGTTTCAGTGAAGTGATCAATCAATAATTGCGACACAACAGGATCGGTTTTAAAAATTTCCAATACATAAATGAATAAAAGAAGACTCATATTCTTTTAGTTGATTCTGTATAAAGAATAAATTTTAAGATGAAATAGTTGAACGTATATTAAAATATATGTTCTTTAAATTTATTTTCTTTTTGTGAATTTCCATAATTCAATTATATTTTTTGATAAATACATTGTTTCATTCCTTACTACAAAAATGTGCATATAAATGTATTATAATTATATATATATATATATACATTAAACATATATGTGTAAATTTTTCAACCATTCAGAGCGCATATTACGGAATTATTCGAAATGGAAATGTTCGAAATAAATTTCGATCGGAATTGTCAATTACATGTATATATTCCTTAGATTTCTATTGTATTTTCTGGGGAAAAATGGAATAATTCCGATCGGAATTTACTTCCATAATACATGCCCGGTTATATATACTGAAACATTTTTAAAAACACGTGCAACCCTGCATCAATATCACTTTTTTATTCTCTATCAAGCCACTAAACAGTTTTCCATCAGTAGAGTGAGAAGAAACGGCTAAACACCCATCATAATATTCTCGTTACAGGTTGCATTATTAATACGCAATGTATACACTTGCTGTAGGATGGCATTAAACTTAGAAAGTCTCGTCATACATAACCATCTACCGCTCCAACCGATAATGAAACGAAAAAAAGAGAAGCTTAGTTTCTTCGCAGACACCAGGATGGATGTTTCAAAATATTCAGCGTATATAGGTGTGCATTCTTTTCTTCGATTAATTTAGATAAATACGTTAAACAGAAAGATAGTAATGTTTATCAAGCGCATAATATTCACGAATAAACATTTCGAATTATTTTCTACAAAATAGTCTCTTATAAAAATACTAGCTAAAATAATGGGATAATAATATTTATTTAAAAAAAAAACTCTATATAGAAAAAAGGTCCCTATTATGAGATATCGAGTTCATTTTAGATAAATGCTAGAAATCTAAGAGCAGAATTTAAAAAAACAATAGATCATTTTAAAGAGAATTTAATAAGTTTTAAGATAATATTATATAAAATTTAATTCCATTTTTCAAATTCCATTTTTTTTTTAAATTAAAGGAATGTGAAAAGTGAGCAAATCATAAAGTAAAAAAATTGTGCTTCTAATATGAGATATCCTGAGAAATTGATAGTAAAAACAAGTATATCAGTATTGCAATTAAAAAACTTTATTTCATGTTTCTAAAATGCAAACAAACACAGCCAGCGTGCGTGAAAAATTAGCATGCAATAGATTATAACCCAGAATTCGTCTTCAGGTAGTTGGAATCAAGCATCGCAGAAATAGGCACTCGACGTTCATTCCGACTGTCCTTTTTATTATTGTACAATTTATTCTTCAGCAACGATTTTCACTACATAGGAGAGCATGGGTTACTTTATATTAGAAATATGGGTATCTCATATTATGTCATACAATCTTATGGTTTTGCGATCATCAAATCTAACTTCTGTAATTAAACAATTCAACATATCCCATATTTTTCTATTAGTACGACCTTGCTCTATCACTATATGAAGAATTTATTGCCAAATATTTATTTTATTAAAAGATAAACAAGATTGAAAGGTTCATCTCATTGAAACTTGAAGATATTCAAATTCTAAAATCTTTTTTTACAATGACTATAGACATGATCTATTAGTGAATTTTTTACTAAATAGTTTTCAATCCAAAAGCAATAAATTCATAGTGAAACCAATAGATAGCGTTCATTAATTTAATAGAAACGCTGTTATCTCATGTTAGACGTCTATCTCGTAATAGAGAGTTTTCCTCTATATATATATATATAAAATTATTGATGCAAATAAAAATTGTAATCATTAAGAAGATTTGTATCACTCAACTATTTTCTTACTTTTACATTCTTCTATTACATATTTATATAAACATATATACATACATATACACGCATACAATACATAATACAATATATCACTTTTTTATAATATAAAAATATTTGCTCTTTGATATTTTTTTAATCTAACTAATAATAAACTTAATCGGAAATTTAATATTTACAATTATAAATATGTGTCACAAGAATAAATAGATATCTTTATTTTTTTACAAAAAAAAATAAAAAGAATGTGATGTTTACTAGAAACAAGAGAAAAAATAAGGAGAAAAAGAGAGAATATACATAAAAAAGAGGAAAGAAAATACATAATAATTACATAAAATTCATGGGCAACAGAGAAATTTGATTTTATTAAAATTTTACTCGCATTTACCTCTCTATAAAATAGATTATGAATGGGCTATTGGATTAAATCGGACTAACTTGGCATTGTTGGGCGTTTGGCCAAAAAACAACGAAACTAAACAGAAAAAATTAATTTCAAACATTTGTACAATTCTTATGTTAAACACTGCAATCTGTGGCTGCTACATTCCAAGTATACATTCTTTGTTTAAAGTTTGGGGTGATATAATGTCTATGATTGATAATCTACAATATACTTTACCGATGTCGGTAGCAATAATAAAATTATCTATTATGTGGCTGAAAAAGAAAGGTAATACATAGACGAGACAGAAGCTAGTTGTTACAATTAATCTTTTTAGCCAAAGAAGACAACACATTTTTATAAATTTTATAATACTTACGATATTCCACTAACAATTAGTGGCAGCCATAATTAACTGTAGAAGATGCTACATGTATGCTACATGAAGATGCTAACTGTATATTTATGTGATTATATTATGTGAAGGTAAATATTTGATTTATGTGAATTGTTTCTTTATTGGATACATAAGACATATATTATATTATCATACTTTTGTATTTATTTTATTATTTTATATACGTTTAGTTATAATAACACATTTTATTTGATTCAAAAGGTACATATATTAGTTTTTTATCTATATTTTCTCGAATAAAAAATGGCGAGCTAGGATTAGTTCTTACATTTTGATCAAGACAAGTTATAATAATGTAATATTTTATTAATAACTTACCTCGTACTTAAAATTGATAAATTAATAATTTAAGCTCTTTTTTTCTTATAGTTAATATTGCTATATATTTAATAATTAATTCAAAAAAAATCTGAATTACATATTTTTATCTGAAAATATTTTTTTACATTTAATTTTATATCCTAAAATAAACATTTATTATAAAATATTTTGTATTTAATTTTTTATTAATATAATCTTGAATTTGTTCTTTACAGTTTACTTATCAATGAAAAATTTCAACTTTCAATATTTAAAAACATTTATATAAATTAGAAAAAATTGTTTATTATCTACATAGACTAGTTAACTCTAGTTAAAAATATATTTCAATCAATGCATAAGTATTCATTAAAATAATTTAAATGTATGCATGAGTTAAAAAAATTCTAGTAAAAGATTGTAACAACTAGCTCGGATCTCCTTTATATACATATTTCTGTAAATTATACATTCGTAAAAAAAACAATTTCTTTTCAATATATCTTGCTATCTTAATTCAAAAAAGTAATATCCTATTCTAAACTTTATTATAACATATGTAACTGTTTTTGTTAATTACAGATGTTCTACCCCTTTTAAACATGATTAAAGATGATTGGTTAAAACCAAAAATGATAAAAGAGAAAGATGTTATGGTAAAACGAGCGCGAATGGCACGTATATTTACGATATTCGGATATTTCATGATGTTGGCATCTTTTAATTTGTGTGTAGTTCTTCCTGTTTTCGGTATTTCAATAAGATACTTGACAAATAAAACAGATCCAGACAGCAAATTATTGCCACTGCAAACGTATTATATATATGATCGAGATAAAAGCCCATTTTACGAAATAACTTATATCATGCAGGGTCTCGGCTTGTTGGCGATAGCTATTATGTATACTGGTGTAGATAGTTTTTTAAGTTTATTAGTTTTTCACGTATGTGGTCAGTTGGAAAATCTCAAAATACGTATCATCCACCTGGACAAGTTCCAAAATTTCGAAAATGCTTTATCACAAAGCGTACAGGATCATATACGTCTTATCAGGTTACGCATATTACTATTAATTTTTAATAATTTTTTAACAAATATAAAAAATAAAGCACATTTTTCACTAACATATTTACTTATTCTAAATGATAACATAAAATGAAAAGATACTTTAAATATTATGATATAAACAAATAACACCATAATTAAAAAATTAATTTGTAAATATGACTTTTTTAATAACTTTCTCTTTTTAATAATTTTCAGATTTATTAATATCATTGACGAAATATTTACATTAATGCTACTTGGTACGCTGTTTTACCTTAGCATATTATTTGCACTTCATGGTTTTTTATTGTGTACTGTAAGTAACCTTTCTTAATTAACCTATCAATAATATGATGTTTTATAAATGTCATCTTTATTAGAATATTTTCTAAAAATTTAACAAATTAAACATATACACTCTACATAGGCGTAAACAAATACACATGCTTGTTTGACTGTTCCATACATTCCGAGAAATGTTGTAAAAAATTCTTTTCATATTTCTAAATTTTTAAAGGAGAGATCTCATTTGCTTATAAATTGATTGCCTATAGTATCGTTTACCTACATCACTTTTGTCAACAGTTTATTTGCGCACAAAAATTATTGCCTACAGCTCGACTGTCTACAAGCATTATCTTTTGCGCACAAATAGCAGAGACGAAATCACATTTACCTGCATATATTATTGTCTCTAAGATTGCCTACATATATTACTGCTTACAGCCCGATTGTCTACATGCACTTTTGCACATAAATAAAAATTTTAGAAACAGAGTTGCTAAAGCAGAGTATTTGTTTTAAAACAAAGAATTTGTTTTTAAAGCAGAAAATAGTACATGTATCGAAAATAATAAGAGATAGTCAAGCAATAATACAGGCAATAATACATTTAGCCATGTAGGCAAATGTAACTTCGTTTCTAAAATTTGTATTCATGTGCAAAAATGCATGTAGGCAATCAAGCTGTACAATAATTTTTGTGCGCAAACAAACTAAGCTTGTCGGCAAATGTGATATATGATAGGCAAAAAGAGTCACCACATTTTTAAGTGCTGTATTAATGCATTTTACATAATATAAATAATTAAAGTTGTATAATATAAATAAAGAATAACCATATACGTATCAAATCTGTTACATATATTAGGTGTTGGAATTAATTCGTAGCGTTTTACAAGAGATGGCACAAGCAGTACACTATTTCGTTGTTACCTATAGTTCTGTATACATTGTAAACATCTATCATAGGACGTCATTTGCCGTACATAACCTTTCTTGAAATCATAAATAACAATACTGTATAATTCATTGAATATGTCAAAATTTGTGCCAGATAAAGTGTTTTTGCGGGGAGTTTTGCTTCATTACTTTAATATGAACAAAAGTGCAGCTGAAGCTCATCGTATTTTAGTGGATGTGTATAGTGAACATGCTCTGGCTGAGCAAACGTGTAGGAAGTGGTTTGCACATTTTAAAGCTGGTGATTTCGACTTGGATGACAAGGAGCGACCTGGTCAGCCGAAAAAATTTGAAGATAACGATTTGCAGGCACTGCTCAATGAAAACTCATGTCAAACACTTAAAGAATTATCTACGTCATTGGAAGTTGACTTCTCAACAATAGGAAAACGTCTTAAAAGTTTGGGCATGATCCAGAAGGAAGGACATTGGGTCCCATATGAATTGAAACCAAGGGATATTGAGAGACGTTTTCTCACGTGCGAACTGCTGCTTCAACGGCAGAAAAGAAAAGGTTTTTTGCATCGGATTGTTACCGGTGACGAAAAGTGGATCCATTATGACAATCCAAAGCGCAGAAAGTCATGGGTTAAGCCCGGCGAACCATCAACATCAGTGGCAAAGCCCAATATCCATGGCTCAAAGCTCCTGCTCTGTATTTGGTGGGATCAGAAGGGTGTCATATACTACGAACTGCTAAAACTGCTTGAGCCGTGCATTGAAGCAAAAACGGTCGAAATACTTCGAAAGACACGATAAAGTCATCTTGCTGCACGACAATGCTCGCCCACACGTTGCAAAACCGGTAAAAACATACCTGGAAACACTTAAATGGGAAGTGCTACCGCACCCGCCGTATTCTCCTGATATTGCACCTAGCGACTACCACTTGTTTCGATCATTAGCTCATAGCTTGTGCGAGCAGAAGTTCACATCTTACGAAGATTGTACAAAATGGTTCGATTCCTGGATTTCATCTAAAGATGAACAGTTCTTCCGACGCGGTATTCATTCACTGCCCGAAAGATGGTCAAAAGTAGTAGAAAGTGATGGGAAGTACTTTCATTAATGTATTTTTTAATGCTCATGTGAAATAAATAACATTCTTTCATTAAAAAAACGCTACGAATTAATTCCAACACCTAATAATAATGTAATATAAACAACAAAAACATATTATCAATTATAGTTAATGTAATTAACATTATATTAAACATTTTAAATTATTTATTTAACACCAATTACTAAATATTCAAAAATTAAATACTTAATTCTATTAAATAGAATTGAATAGAATTAATCCATTCGTTTGTTTAGATGGTGACTCAGGGTCGCGATTTGTCGGTACCACGTTTAACTTTCATTATGACGGTATTTGTCAATACGTTCGGACACACATGTCTCTATTGTGCTGTAGGAGAAATTTTGGTTTCACAAGTATGTTATCTTCTCGATTAACTTATTACGAACAGAATATAAATTATACAATATACTAATTAAAATACAAACTTGTCCAATTTAACACGCACATGATCTATATAATAACATATAAATTTATTGCGTATGGTTATGTATGTCAAGTGCGAAGGAGTTTATCAAGCTGCATATAAATACAAGTGGTATAACTTGGAGCCAAAGAAAGCAAAGAACTTAATGATGATAATGATTCGAGCCAACAAATCGTTGTACCTTACCGCAGGAAAACTATTCCCTATGACGATGTCTACTTTTTGTAACGTAAGCTAGCTAATAGAAATTGTTCACATCACCTTACTCTTACCTTTACCAATTCTTAATATAAATCACATAAAAAATAAAATAAAAACAATTTTTATGTATATAACATTTTTTTATTTCATTTGTTATGTGATTTATACGCATATATACAATATGTAACATATCTGTAAGAGTTTATTCTTATCATCTCGTCATTAATTAAGTTATTTTTACACGTCAACATACATTTTTTATAAATATTATAAATATTATAAAATTTTAGTTATTAAAAACATCGGGCGGTTATGTATCAGTTTTGTTGGCACATCGAGAATAAAAGTAAAAATCTACGAAAGTCAGTAAAATTGATAAAAATCTGATTTTAAAACTCATGCCGGGAAGTAACAATTAATGTGTTTATGTAATCACACATGTAATTTGAATTTAAATATAATAAAGTTTACTTCGTTTATAAGAATGCATGCTTATTTATAATACATACTTGTGAAATACATTATGTATTATTAGGTGTTGGAATTAATTCGTAGCGTTTTTAATGAAAGAATGTTATTTATTTCACATGAGCATTAAAAAATACATTAATGAAAGTACTTCCCATCACTTGTAAAACGCTACGAATTAATTCCAACACCTAATACAATAACGTTATTACAGTATCTTGATTTAAATATCCATTTCTCTTGGGAATGTCTTGTTTGGACGTTCTTTATAGAACATCCCTTGGAGAGAATTGTATATTGTGTTCGTCATTTTGAAAAACTTTTCGTTCTTTGAAATTTATTGAACAAGAATATTTCAAAATAGTTAATATTTTGATAAAAGACGAACTATTTTATATAAATTATTCTAAAATAATAAAAAAGTTTCCAAATTATTTCAGTTTAATTAAATTTATTTAAGTACAAATAATAAAAAATTAAGAATATGACGTTATTGAATTCCAACTTTGCGTTTTTTCGTCAATTACCCCGGTTGATTCTATAAAATTAGCAAAAATTCTTTCTTGCATAAGTAATATGTCATAAACATGTAAATAATTTATATTGATTGTAATGTAATAACGCTTTAATAAATTACATACGATTTTTGTAATTTTATATTAAATTAATCAGTATTGGTTTAGAGATGGGAAATAAATAACGCTGTTACTTTTGTCGTTACCTTTTATAACGATTTAATAATGATGTTGCAATTTTTTAATGATGGTAACAGTAACTAACTGAAAGTAAAAGTTAAGAAAAAATCATTTTTCAAAAGTATCGTGTCACAATCATACGTTATTTATTGTAAAAAAATAACTCATTACTTGTAACAATTTAAAATAACAAGTAAAAATAACAAATCGACGTACTACAAATGAGTTACTTTTTTCAAGAAATTATGCTTAATAGCGATTGGTTACTTCTCCACTAAAAATGACTTCTCCAATTTTACTTAGTTTTTAGATATATTTAGATAGTTGTCATTATCATTATAAAAAAACTGCAACTCATTGCCAAATCATTATTGTAAAAAGTAACAATAAACGATTCTTATCCTTGATTGTATCATTCACTCAACTATATTAGAACACATTATTAACATTATTAAAATATTTAAAAAAATTGCAGTATCGTATGCTATATAATATGTATATATACATATAATATGTAATAATATAATTACGATCACTCCTAATAATAAATACGAACTGACATTCAGTTTGATATGTAACACATGGCTATAGTCGTACTATACAGTAAAAACGTTTGGTATTTCAAATTGACTGACTTTATTAAAACAAAAGGAAACAGAGACTGTTTTTTAAGTAAAGTTTAGAAATTTCAAACTTTGGCTTTCAAGTTTCATATATGAATAATGATAGTTTCAGTGAAGTGATCAATCAATAATTGCAGCACAACAGGATCGGCTTTAAAAGTTACCAACACATAATAAATAAATGAAAAAAGACTCATATTCTCTTAGTTGATTCTGTATAAAGAACAAATAAATTTTAAGCAGATAAAATAATTGAACGTATATTAAAATATATGTTCTTTAAACTTATTTTCTTTTTGTAACTGTATTTTCATAATTTAATTGTTTTTTTCGATAAATATATTGTTTTATTCCTTACTACAAAAATGTGCATATAAATGTATTAATTACATTTGAACATATGTGTATGTGTAAATTTTTCAATTCGTTTAGACCACGTATTACAAAATTATTCGGAATGGGAATGTTCGGAATAAATTCCGATCGGAATTGTCAATTACATATATAATATTCCTTAGAGATTTCTATTGTATTTTCTGGAGAAAAATGGAATAATTTCGGAATTTACTTCCATAATACATGCCCAGTTATATACTGAAACATTTTTAAAAACATATGCGACCCTGCATCAATATCACTTTTTTATTCGCTATCAAGCCACTAAACAGTTTTTCATCTGTAGAGTGAATCGAACGGCTATAAACATCACCCACCATAATATTCTCGTTACAAATGTTGCATTATTAATACGTAGAGTACATACTAGCTGTAGGATGGCGTTAAACTTAGGAACTCTCATCATACATAACGATCTACCGCTTCAACCGATAATGAAACGAGAAAAAGAGAAGCTTAGTTTCCTTACAGACACCAGGATGGATGTTTCAAAGTATTCAGCGTATATAGGTGTGCATCCTTTTCTTCGATTAATTTAGATAGATACATTAAACAGAAAAATAGCAATGTTCATGAAATGCATAATATTCATGAATAAATGTTTCGAAATATTTTCTACAAAATACTGTATGTACAAAGTATTGTTACAAAAATATTAGCTAAAATATGGGATAATTATACTTATTTAAAAAGGAACCCATATATATATATATATATATATGGGTTCTTTTATATGTAAAATTACATGAAAATAAATACATGAAAAAAGGAAAAGAAAATACATAACAAATACATAATATTCATGGACAACAAAGAAATTTAATTTTATTAAAATTTTTACTCGTATTTTTCTTTCTATAAAATAGATTATGAATGGGCTATTGGATTAAATCGGACTGGCTTGGCACTGTTAGGCATTTGGCCAAAAAACAACGAAACTAAACAGAAAAAATTAATATCAAACATTTGTACAATTCTTATATTAAACACTGCAATTTGTGGCTGCTACATTCCGAGTATACATTCTTTGTTCAAAGTTTGGGGTGATATAATGTCTATAATTGATAATCTACAATATACTTTACCGATGTCGGTAGCAATAATAAAATTATCCATTATGTGGCTGAGAAAGAAAGGTAATACGTAGACGAAATAGAAGCTAGTTGTTACAATTATTTCTTTTAACCAAAGAAGACAACACATTTTCATAAATAATATAATATTTATGATATTTTACTAACAATTAGTGACAGCCATAATTGAACTGTAAAAGATGCTACGTATATTTATATGATTATATTATATTATGTGGAGATAAATATTATGTGAATTGTTTGTTTATTAGATATGTAAGCGAGAGGTATGTTAGCATTCTTTTGTATAGTTATTTTATTATTTTATATACATTTATAGTTATAATAACACATTTTATTTCACTCGAAATGTATATACATATATTATCTCGAATAAAAAATGGCGAGTTATTACACTTTAATCGATGCAGGTTGTAGCATTGTAATAACACTAATAACTTACCTCGTACTTAGAATTGATAAACTAATAATTTAAGCGCTTTCTTCCTTATAATTGATTGCTATATATTTAATAATTAATTCAAAAAAACATCTGAAGTAACATATTTTTTTACATTTAATTTTGTATCCTAAAATAAACATTTAGTATAAAGTATTTTGTGTTTGATTTTTTATCTAGAATGATTATTTATAGAATTTGATTATTAATCTAGAATTTATTCTTTTCAGTTTATCTGCTGACAAAAAATTTTAATTTTCAGCATTTAAAAACATTGATATTCAGAAAAAATTGATTATCTACTTAGTTTAGTTAACTCCAATTAAACTAGTTGAATATATATTTCAATCAATGTATAAGTATTCTTTAATTTAAAATTTAAATATACACATGAGTTAAAAAATTCTAGTAAAAGATTGTAACAACTAGCTCCGTTCTCCTTTATACATACTTATACATATATTTCTGTAAATACATTAGTAAAAAAGAAACAGTTTCTTTTCAATATCTTGCTATTTTAATTCAAAAAAATAATATCCTATTCTAAGCTTAATTATAACATATGTAACTGTTATCTTTGTTGATTATAGATGTTCTACCCCTTTTAAACATGATTAAAGATGATTGGTTAAAACCAAAAATGATAAAAGAGAGAGATGTTATGATAAAACGAGCGCGAATAGCACGTATATTTACGATATTCGGATATTTCGTGATGTTGGTATCTCTTAATTTGTGTGTAGTTCTTCCTGTCTTCGGTATTTCAATGAGATATTTAACAAATAAAACGGATCCAGGAAAATTAGTGCCGCTACAAACATATTATATATACGATCGAGATAAAAGTCCATTTTACGAAATAACTTATATCATGCAGTGTCTCGGCTTATCGGCGGCAGCTATTATGTACACTAGTGTAGATAGTTTTTTAAGTTTATTAGTTTTTCACATATGTGGTCAGTTGGAAAATCTCAAAATACGTATCATCCATCTAGATAAGTTCCAAAATTTCGATAATGCTTTATCACATAGCATACAGGATCATATACGTCTCATCAGGTTATGCATATTATAGATTTTTAATAATTTTTTTAGTGGATATAAAAAAATAATGCACATTTTCCACTAACACATTTACTTAAATTATTCTAAAGAATAACATAAAATGAAAAGATTCTTTAAATATTACATTGAGAAAAATGGTCTGGTTGGATTAAATAGTAATTCTGGTAGAAAATTCACGAATCAGAATTTTCTAAATTCTTAAATATGCTAGAATTCTAGTTAAGCTAGAACTCTGAATGATATAATTATTCTAATAAAAATGAGAATTCTTTTAAATTTTACTAGAAATATTGTATTAATCAGAATTCTGATTATCTCAACTAGAATTCTAATAGATTTAACCAGAACATTCTGATTCGTTCATTTTCAACCGGAATTTTTTTCAATGTGTATAATATAAATAAATAATGAAAAAATTAATTTATAAATATGACTATTTTAATAACTTTCTCTTTTAACTCTCAGATTTATTACCATCGTTGACGAAATATTTACATTAATGCTACTTGGTACGCTGTTTTACTTTGGCATATTATTTGCATTTTACGGTTTTTTATTGGGTACTGTAAGTAACCTTCCTTAATTATTTTTGCAATAATGTAATGTTTTATAAATGTCATCTTTATTAGAATATTTTCTAACAATTTAATAAGTTAAACATATATAAGTACGTATAATATCTGTTATATAATAATGTAATATAAATAATAAAAACATATTATAAATTATAATTAATGTAATAAACTTTATATTAAACATTTCAACTTATTTATTTAACACTAATTACTATTCTCAAACATTCAAAAATTAAATACTTAATTTTATTAAATAAAATTAAATAAAATTAATCCATTCGTTTGTTTAGATGGTGACTCAGGGTCGCGATTTGTCGGTACCACGTTTAACTTTCATTATGACGGTATTTGTCAATACGTTCGGACACACATGTCTCTATTGCGCGGTAGGAGAAATTTTGGTTGCACAAGTATGTTATCTTTTTGATTAACTTATTACGAACAAAATATAAATTATGCAATATATTAATTAAAATACTTGTCTGATTTTACACACAATCTATATAACATATAATTTATTGCGTATGGCTATGTATGTCAAGTGCGAAGGAGTTTATGAAGCTGCATGCAAGTACAAGTGGTATAACTTGAAGCCAAAGGAAGCAAAGAACTTAATGATGATAATGATTCGAGCCAACAAATCAATGTATCTTACCGCAGGAAAGCTGTTCCCTATGACGATGTCTACATTTTGTAACGTAAGTTGGCTATAATAGAAATTGTTCGTATTTACCTTTATTCTTACCTTTACCGGTTCTTAACATAAAAAATAAAATAAAAACAACTTTTGTGTATATAACATTTTTTTTACTTTATTTGTTATGTCATTTATACATATATGTACAAAATATAAAATATCTGTAAAATTTTATTCTTATTATCTCATCATTAAGTAGGTTATTTTTACACATCAACATACATTTTTTATAAATATTATATTTTCAAATAAAGTAAAGAACGCCAAACGGTCAAAGTTAGATGTTACGAATATATTTAATCAATTTTTTGTTCCAATAACCCACCCTCTAAATAAAACCCCTAAAAAACGGAAAGAAACTTATTGCGAAAAATATTACCTCAGCCGGGGTTCGAACCTGGGACCTATTTAAAGAGGATTATTAAAATGTTTCATAATGATTGTGTTGAAAATCCGATAATTATCGGCGCGCAATCATATTTGAAACAAAAAATTGATTAAATATATTCATAACATCTAACTTTCGTTAGATCGTTCGGCGTTTTTTATTTTATTCAATTTATTCATACATGATCGTTCTTCTTATAATGATTATATTTTTAGTTGTTAAAGACATCGGGTGGTTATATATCGGTTTTACTAGCACATCAAGAATAAAAATAAAAATCTGCAAAAGTCGGATAAAAATCTAATTTTATAAAATTTATAACAGGAAGTAACAATCAATGGATTTATGTAATCACAATTTGAATTTAAATATAATAAAATTTACTTCGTTTAATAAAAATGCATACTTATTTATATACTTGTCAAATACATTACAATTACAATATTATTACATTATCTTAATTTGAACATGCATTTCTCTTAGAAACATCTCCTTGGATGTTCTTCATAGGACATCTCTTGGAAAGAATTGTATTTTGTGTAGATAATTTCGAAAATTTTATTGTATTTTTGCATCAACATTTTGAAAAACATTCTTTGAAATTTATTGAATAGAATATTTCAAAATAGTTAATATTTTGACAAAATACGAACTATTTTATAAATTTTATAAATTGCTCTAAAATAATAAAAAAGTTTCCAAATTATTTCAGTTTAATTAAATTTATATTAAATTGGACACATAAATCTCTCACGTAAATTATATATTTAAGATTAAATTATTCATATTCTAATGTAATAAAATCTCGTCAAAATACAATCAATAACCTATCATTCTCGAAATGTTATTATTAGATTTATAACTCAAATCATTTTTATAAAAATATATAACATTTTATTGATTTAATATTACAAATTTTGCTCACAATACACGTTTGCTCATGAATTAAATAAGGTAAACATTATCTAAATATCATTCTTAATTTGACGACAGATAATTTGTGTGATAATCTTGTTAGGATAAAAGTGGAATATGTTAATGTTATTCACAATTAGCTAGGTACATATTTCAATATGTATATACCAAATGAAATATGAACGCCATATTAAGCGCGCGAATTTCATTCAACGCATTCTAATTTACACGCTAACAATGAACAAATCATTTGCTATATTGGATTTTTATAATATGGCTTAAGGGTGATTGGCTGTCAGCTCTCCATTACTTTTAGGCTACTATGCATCCACGAGAATAACGACTTACGTCTTTCTATCATGACTATTACACTGTACTTTTCGAAGTTTGCCACATACAAAAGATCTATGCAATAAAGCTGTAGCGTGTATTCTGATCGCATTGGCGGTCGTATAAGGTAAGTTAAATTTCAGATACCTAATAACGTTTTTTCTTTTCACAATTTCACAAGTTTTATATATAATATAATTAAAACATATTTTTTATTAATTTGTTTATTTTATAATAGCGTTACATATTATATTTTATTTTTTTATATTGCATATATAAAAATAATGCATATAAATTATTTAATTGTGTATTGTATAAAGTGTTTAACCTCGTCAATCATTATGTTCCTATTATATTTATTTGTTCTATTATTTTGATTATATAATTTTATTATTCTTACTAATTTTATTGATTTTATCTCGTCAATTTTATAAATTTTGTTTAAAATTAAAAACAAATTCTATTACATCTTTCCTTATGTCACAAGAAATATAAGAATGGAATAAACTTTAAAATAGAGTCAACTATAGGCAAGTGCGAGGGTGGAGTAATTGCGACGATACTGTATTAAAATTTAAAACGACTTTATATTTTATATTATTTCATGTTCAATGATGATTTGACTTCAAATTGACACAAGTTCTGCTAAATACAAAAATTTTATATTATAATAATTATCCGTTAAGCGTTGTAAAAAAGTTATGTTATCAAAATATGCAGATATCTATTCAAAGCAGAATTAGCAGGAAAAATTCAGTGAGTGGAAAAAACCAGGGTAAATTCCGAATTTTAGCGAAGTTTATCCACTGGAATAAACTGTAAAAACTATAAAATTGACTAATATGCGATACTGTGTTTATATATTTTATATATAATATAATAAATATATTATATTTAGAAATATTTCTAAAATAATAAAAAGATTAATAAAATCGAATTCTGTACTCTCATTATTTACAGAACTGGACTGTGCCATGTATGTAATATTATATTATGTATCTATAATAAAATATCCAAATACATATCTAATTTCATTGTTGCTTATTTTTTTTTATTTAATGTTTTCTGTTAATATATTTTATTAATTATTCTTGTTGGCTTACGATGCTACATATGAACATCATTCGCGTTACGATATTGCTAAAGTCCAACCGAAATTTCGATTTCAGTTTCGGTTTATTTCGATCAAAAATCAGGGTTTCAGTTTGATTTCGGTTTTGGCAAGAAAATTTCGATAGATAAACCGAAATTGTACAAGTTACAACACGCCAGTGAATACTTAAAAAAACAATGGTCCGATTTTATTAACTTTGTTGATTAAGCTTAAGACAATTTGAATACAAACTTTGATGTGATCCTAATAATAACAGTAATTTGATTTCTTTTTAAAAGTTGAAAATATAATATCATTATATTATTTATAATTATAGTTAGATATTTTAATACTTTTAATAAAATCTTGTTTTTTAAAGAGTACATAAATTTTTAATGATTCCTAAAAATCATATGGTCTATGTAAAATTAATCTAAAAATGATGATTTCAACTTTGGCCGAAAAAATATAACTCCGCTAGTTTCTCTCTCTCTCTCTCTCTCTCTCTCTCTCTCCTCGCCCCTCTTCCCCTCCTCTCTCTCTCTAGTAAAACTTACATAAATTTCGGTTTCAATTTCGTTTTCGATCAAAATTGAAAATCGAATCATTTTCTATTTCGACCGAAGATTAAAAGTTTCGGTTGGTTTCGGTCGGACTCTAGATATTGCATCCCTTAAATAATATCAATTTCTTTTAAATAAAATTAATTTTAGATTCAATGTATGCGGAAGAGACAGTAAAAAAAAAATCTCTATAATAATATTTAAATAAACCATGTCTGTTTAAGGTGACAGCGGATTGATTCAAAATAACAATAATACTTGTCGATCTGGTATCTGATGGAAAACGTGGTGGATACGCCATGGATAATCCAAATATATTCACTAATATCACTATCTACCGAACTTGGATTAAACAAACAATATCACTTTGATATCCATCGTTATATATTGCATATTTTTAATACTTAATAAAAATTATTCAGCAAACGTATATCCTTTATTATGCGTATTATTAATAAAAGCCAAAATTTAGTCAAGTTTCCTTTTACATGTCCGTTTCAATAAAATAATAAATTATTTATTTGGCACATTATTTATCTTTATTAATTATTTAATGTTAATTATATTATTTTGATTTATGGATAATAAAAAATTTCATTTAGAAATTTTAACGTAATATCAAGAAAAATTAAAAGTATACCTATATATATTTTTTAATAATAATATTTAAATATTTTTACGTAAAGAATTTTTTTAAATATTTTTTTAAATTGTAAAAATATATTTCTACAGAATATTAAATGAAGATTTGATAAATTATTCAAACTAAACTATTAAAAAGATAATCGCACAAATACAAAATGTAACGCACTAGCAAGAGCTAAAATTAAACTTACCAACAGAATTCCAATTGATAATTAAAATCAAGCTGCACTATATTCGATAATTGATAGACAATTAGGTTTAATTGCAGATTGTGATAGAGAGATAAAAAGGTAAAAATTTTCGATATCAAATTATTAATCTAGTTATTTGTTTACATCAAATTAGCGATAGTGACTTACAAGTATAAGACAGGACGTATTTGCTTCTTGAACTAGTTATACATATTACAAACATATGTGACAAAAACCATTATAAGTATTATTTTTATTAATTTCATTAATACTGGCATCAAAATTCACGAGTGTTTCATTTCGTTCATTCACAAAGATATATATAATCATATTCACTTACTAGAATTGTGATATTATTTTCATCCCGCGAACAGAACGACATTCTTAATATTATTAATCCACAAAATTATGAGTTTTATGTTACAAAATTATTTAATTGTTTAATAATGTTGATTAATGTTAAAAGATGTCTTTCAATCAGCAGAGAAAGCATACACGTGATTCTAACTACAAAGATACTCGAAGAACGATACAAAAAATAAATAACTGCTTACACCCGAACGCGACATTGCAAAGCCACATAGCAAGGCTTTTTACGATTATCGTCGCGTTACCATGACATACTGATGTAAATACTTCGCGCATGAATAGTCGGAGGTCGAAGGGTTCCCATGGTGATGGATAATGACGCACCCCCACATGCAAAGCACGCATGCTTCATTGTTAGTAGGATAAAAAGAAGGGATGATATAAAGATAAGGGGAAAGTATTATGTTTCTGAACTTACTTTACTGTAATTGGGTTTGTAACAGTTAATCAATTTACATGCGTCACATAATTGATAAATTTATACCTGTCTTCTATAATGTTATTATTAGATTTATAAACAGTAATGTTGTTTACTAATGTGAGCAACATTCATGTTTAGTTATGGTTTTACTATGTAGCTTATTAATCGTTTTAGTCAGCTTATCTATTTTCGATAAAAACAGAGCATCTGATAATTATACTATGAATGTAAAAAGTATTCATATATAGGGAAGACTTTTATTAAAGCAGCCTAGTTTGCAAACTAAACATTTAATTAGCAATTTATTAACAATAAGTTATATATGTTATCTCCCAATATAAATAAAAAAGTGTCATAAAATTAATCGTATTCTTCCAACATGATACTTTTGCAACATCCGTTGAAGAATCGTGTTGCATAGGTTATATTTATTACATAGAAAGATCTAAGTGTAATATATTATATTACATATTTGCGTATTATATACATATTTGCGTTTTAGGTGAAATCTAAAAATAGTCTAATCAAAATCTGATCAGAACGGAGATTTAATTCCAAAAAATGTAAATTAATATGATTAAATTATAATAAAATTTTTTGCATTTAAAATTTTGTCAAATTATTATAACCAATATTAAAAAAACTAAATTATTTGTCTAATCTTATTTTATAATTCTTGCAAAAAGATAGTCAATGCGTTACCGATTCAGTGAGCATATTTGCTTCAAACCGTTAAACTGGAGCCACATATCCTTTGTTTCATTTCAAATTATATCTATTAAGTACTTATTATTGGAATGTTATCTTTTATTTTTGATTATATGAATATTGGCACAGAATGAACGTCCAAGTACGGGCGTCGAACCTTACGAATAAAATCGGTCTAATTATAAATTATGACCTCACAATTGTTTTTGAGATCAATTAAAGAAACAAACAAAGATCTTTTATAATTGTTAGAACAGCAAGATCTTATGAAAATGCAAACTCCAAATAACAGTTTCCCTGATCGGTATCAGACTATCAGATCTCTTTCCACAAGGGATCCGAAATAACAATCGGTGGCACGTCCTTATAACGAAAATGTAACGAACATAAACACTATCGAGAAGCGACACACTCAGATCCTTAATTTCATTTTCCGAAAATCGGTGCAGTAATAAAGTAAAATAAATCTTTTATAATTTAATTCTCAAGAAAAAATTATAAATAGAAATAGAAATCTCAATACAAAATTTATATAACTTTTTATATACTTTTAACTGACTTCTAATGTATAGTGTTAATGTACAATAATATACAGGTTAAATTAGTAGCCGCCAAGCGGTCGATAACTTAATTAAGATATTTTCACACAGATATATAACAGATTTTATAGTAATTTAGTTGTTGAAAAGTATATTTTTATTATCACAACTTTAAGGTAAAAGATATCAAATATTTGTTCTTATCGTTCTTAATTTTATCATTATTGAAATTCATATGACTATACAACAAAAAAATGAAATGAAAAATTAAGATTTATTCGCAGCTGCGGAGTAAATTAATTCATTCGTTAATTAACTTATGTTCTTTTTATTTTCCTTTTTTTTAAACATAATGTGCAACCACAAATAAAAAAGTTACAAAAGATAAGAGATAATCCTCATTTTCTCAAGATTGCTCATTTCCATGGGTAACGAACCACTATGGTTGGTATGGAGTACTCCTTATACTGAATGATTTAATGATGAAATTCTATACACAAGAATATCTCACACAAATTTTATATCTGTAATATCCTTGTGACATACTTCTGTCCTGAACAGCCATGTAAATAATTTACTTCTTTAATTAATTCTATAATAATTTTTAAATGTATGTAATAATCCGTATTGTATACTTATTTCGAATTATTTTAAATTACTTTTTAGATGATGTATACAGATTAAATCCTTAAAGATACAATAGACAATAAAGATAATTAAGCAGCTCTTAACATTTTTTGAAGAAATGTATTCTGATCAAACTGTAGTTTGCAGTATATATCCGCGAAAGTAACAGTTATTCATTAAACATCTAAAAGTCTTCGTTTTTTATTTTTTGTTATTCTTAATAACAGAAATTTTTTAGAAAATTGAGATTTTGAACATCGCACTGCAAAAATTGGACTAAAATATAAATCTTATAAAAAAATTACGAAAATATGAATCTTATAAAAAAATTATGAGTGATTGATAGTCTCACCCAAATGCGAGAATCAAAATTCCATATTATATGGCATCGATATTATATGACATAATTCTACGCAAGGAGCTAGTGCACTGAGCTTAGAAGAACTGAAAATATCTCGATCACATAATGTACGTAAACGTTAGGCAATCCTCATATTATATTTTTCACACGCCGAAAAATTATTATCGGAATAAAACAGAAAAATCGTGTTATTAAAGCATAAAATTTGTATTTTAAAACAGAATTTGTGTTTTAAAATAGAATTTGTGTTTTTAAAGCAGAGAATAATACATGTAGACAAATGGGACTTCGTTTCCGAAATTTTTATTTGTGTACAAAAATGTATGTAAGCAATTGAGCTCTAGGCAATAATTTTTGTGCGCAAACGAACTGTCGGCAAAAGTAATATAGGCAAACAATACTGTAGACAATCGATTTATAGACAAAAGAAGCCATCTCATTTTTAAATACTATATCAATGCATTTTAAAATAAATGTTAAAGTTGTTATAAATAAAAAATAATTATATACGTACAAAATCTATTATATATAATTATGTAATATAAATAATAAAACATTATAAATAATAATTAACATATTTAACATTTTATTAAACATTTTAACTTATTTATTTAACACTAATTACTATTCTTAAACATTCAAAAATTTAATTCTTAATTCCATATTTAATTCATTCGTTTAGATGGTGACTCAAGGCCGCGATCTGTCGGTATCACGTTTAACTTTCATTATGACAGTATTTGTCAATATGTTCGGACACACATGTCTCTATTTTTCTTAGGAGAAATTTTGGTTACACAAGTATTTTCTTAGTTATCTTCTTAGTTAACTTAATACGAACAAAATATAAATTATACAATAAACTAATTAAAATACTTATCTGATCTAAATAACAACATAAATATACCTATAAATTTATCGCGTATATATCATTATGGCTATATATATCAAGTGCGAAGGAGTTTTTGAAGCTGCATGCAAGTATCAGTAGTGTAACTTGCCAAAGAAAGCAAAGAACTTAACGATGATAATGATTCGAGTCAAGAAATCATTGTACCTTATAGCAAGAAAACTGTACCCTATGACGATGTTCATATTTTGTAACGTAAGCTAGCTAATAGAAATTGTTCATATCACTTTTACTCTTACCTTTATCAATTCTTAATATAAATCATATAAAAAATAAGATAAAAACAACTTTTATGTATATAATATTTTTATTTTATTTTTTATGTGATTTATACGCATATATAAAATGTAAGATATATGTAAAGTTTTATTCTTATTATTCGTCATTAATTAAATTATTTTCACATATCAACATACATTTTTTTATAAATATTATATTTTATTAATTAATTTAATATAGTAATAATATAGTAATAATATAGTATTAATTTAATATAGTTAATTTAGTTAATTTAATATAGTGTTTAGTTTTGTGATACATTTGTGAAAGGGAATCGCCCGATATCCTTTTTGCTATATTAATCATAAAAAATAATATAGAGGTTTTAAATAATAAAACATTCTTTAATCACTTCTTCAGTTTAGATCGTTAGTATAAAATGTTTTAGCTGGCTACATCCATTCAATTTGGTCAATGAGCAATTAAGCTTTCAACGAAGGATATTGCAGAGAATGATATTGTTACAATTGCTTTCTACGGGATATAGAAAACCGCTACATGAAAATTTGCAGAAATTGTACACGAAAGCCATGCTTCCGGAAAAATGCCAATCTTATCATGTTCATTGATAAAATCGAATTCTGTACTTTCATCACTTATGGAACTGGACTGTGCAACGTATGTAATATTATATTATATCTAACAGAATGTCTGAATGTATGTCTAATTTCATTGTTGCTTATCTTTTTTTTAATTTAATTTTTTCAGTCACTACATTTTATTAATTATTCTTGTTACGGCTCACGGCGCTGTGAATATCAGTTGTGTCACGATATTGCATCCCTTAAATAATATCAATTTCAGATTCAACGTATGCGGAAGAGATAGTAATCTCTATAATAATAAATAATCCATTTTTCTGTTTCAGGGTGATAGTGGTAGCGGATTGATTCGAAATAGCGACAATACAATTGTTGGTCTGGTACCTGATGGAATATCATGCGCCGAGTGTTATCCAGATATATATACTAATGTCTATTCATATGTTTCTTGAACAAAAAATGGCACTTTGATATGTATAATTGTTATACATGTTTTTAATACACAATAAAAATTATTGAGCAAATGTCCTTTATTATGTATTATTATTAATGTAAATTATTTATATTATATATTAT